TTTCTTTTTGAATGTTGACAATCCAACATATAAAGTAATTTTGATTTTAATATTACAAATACTTTTATGAACCAGAAGAATTTCACATGTGAAATCTTTATAACCTCCAGATAATTATCAAATGTTTTTTTTAGCAAAAACTTAATATTTTATGTTATTTTCACTACTGTAACTCTGTATGTGTTGGGTCATAATCACCATAAAAAATTGGGAAATAAATAAAAATTATGCTTTTTTCATTTCAGAATGACTACAAATTATAACAAGAAAACACAAATGTTTAGTCTAAATAGCATAAATCTCATAACGTTATACATCTGTATATATTTATTATTTTTATTATATTGACCCTTTCAGTTGTACTTGGCTAATATTACAGAAATTGCAATGACGTGGCACATGTGCATTCACGTTACTGTATCCAATAATATAAAACTGGCCTTTAGTCTTTACAAAGTGACCTGTCTTGCCTGTGTTTTAATGGACTAGTATTTTGCAAAATACAATCGCATTTCAGTTATAGTACAATATATACGTATAAACATAATTACTCTTTATAAATAAGTTTTCAAACTTATTTTTTAAAACATAGAACAATAAATAAAGAAGTATAGTAAACAATTATCTCTTCTAGTTACAAACTTTGTACTCATTTGCTGCTTGCTGTAGGTTGCTAAGCCTTATTAAATTTTGCACATGGAGAATGTGAAACGAAATAATTTTTTCTAGGTCTTATATATACATTTTGAAATAACCAAAAATAAAAAATTACTATATCAAAACTACAGAATTCCACCATAATTTATCAAGTTTAGTAACTAAGCTGTATTTGGATCTAAAAAATATATATGAAATTTCTAGCTCACTAAAGACTTAACTTACCAGCTTGAAATCTTGTATCAAAAGAACAAGATTGACATCTAGTGTGACACATTTTTTTCTAGGGATCTCCTTTTATCTATTTTATCCACCACCCTTTCAATAAATACAAAATTAAACATAAATTACTCCCTATAAAATCTTCATTGCTAAGATAAACCATAATTTTTAGTCTTCAATTTTGTTTGGTTACAGAGCTATCAAATAGAAAATCAGACCCCTCTTGCCCCAACCACCTGTCACATCCTCTCTTTCAGGATGTGTTAATAGTTCTCTCCTACATTCAATTCTATATTATCTCTAACCAATAGGAAGTCAAGGTTTTCATCTATCAAATGATGTATTGTATAATGTTGTTTTCACAATGGAGAATTGTCAATTTCACTGTTAATACAAGCTTCATTCCCACAGGAAAGATAATGACTAGCTTGGATGAATTTGTAACAGCTCTTGTCGCATAGTTAGAAAACCAGAAATTTTTTTAGAGTTAAGGGAAATTGTCCACTTTTTGCATATTACTAGTCTATGTTTTTTAGTTCATTATTTAAATTAGAAAAAATTATTTAGTGCATTACTACCATTAGTA